CGGCTAAATTCCAGAACTCCCAGATCAGAGAGAAAATACTTCAAGCAGCCAAAAAGAAACAATTCAAATGTTGTGGAGCCACAGTCAGGATCACGCAAGATTTAGCTGCTTCCACATTAAAGGAATGGAGGGCTTGGAATATGATATTTCAGAAGGCAAAGGAGCTAGTATTACAACTAAGAATCACCCACCCAGCAAAACTGAGCATACTCTTTCAGGTGAAAAAGTAAATATTTAATGAAATAGAGAACTTTCAGGCATTCCTGATGAAAAGACCAGAGCTGAATAGAAAATTTAACATTCAAACACAAGACTTAAGAGAAGTATAAAAGGGTAAACATGGAAGTATAATCATCAGAGACTTAATAAAGCTAAACTGTTTACATTCCTGTGTGGGAAGATGATATATGTAACTCCTAAGAACTTTATCATTATTAGGAGAGTTAAAAGGAATTTACATAGAGTGCATGATGGTGAGTCAATTGTGTTGGAATGATTTTTTAAAATGAAGAGGTGAGAAGGAGGCACGTACTGGTAGAAGGGGGGAAGGAAGAGGTAGAATGGGGAGAATTTTGTCACATAAAAGAGGTTTTCAAGGAAGAGCTTTTAAAATGGAGGATGTGTATACACACACACACACACACACACACACACACTCAGTGGTGTATAGAAATGTAACTTAACCCAGTAGGGAAATAGTAGGGGAAGGAGATTAGAGAAAGCAGGAACGGATGATAAAATGGAGGATAGATTAAAGGAAGGTCATGGTTAGAAGCAAAATAAACTTATTCTTATTTATTATTTTTGCTTTTTGGTGAGGCAGTTGGGATTAAGTGACTTGAACTCAGGTCCTCCTGACTCCAAGGCTGGAACTTTATGCACTGCACCACCAGGGAGGGAGAGAGGGAGAGAGAGGGAGAGGGAGAGAGGGAGAGAGGGAGAGAGGGAGAGAGGGAGAGAGGGAGAGGGGGAGAGAGAGAGAGAGAGAGAGAGAGAGAGAAAGAGAAAGAGAAAGAAACTAGAAACTAGAATCCAACAGTAAGTTGCTTAGGAGAGACATACTTGAAACAGAAAGACACATACAGGGTTAAAATAGAGGGCTGGAGCACAATCTAATGTGCTTCAGCTAAATTAAAGAAAGTCAGGGGGATAGCAATCAATATCTCAGACAAAGCAAAAGCAAAAATAGACCTAATTAAAAGGGATAGGCAGGGAAACTACATTTTGCTAAAAGATTCCATAGACAATGAAGAAAAATAAACATTTTTTGATAGCAAGTTTCTCTGATAAAGGCCTCATTTCTCAAATATAGACTGAGTATAGAACTGAGTCAAATTTCTAAAAATAAGAGATATTCCCCAGTTGAGCAACAGTCAAGGGATATAAACAGGCAGTTTTCAGAAGAAGAAATCAAATCTCTCTATAGTCATGTAAAAAATGCTTGAAATCACTATTGATGAGAGAAATTCAAATTAAAACAACTCTGAGGTAGCATCTCACACCTGTCAGAAATGACAAATACTGAAGAGGATGAGGGAAAAATAGGTATACTAATGAAATGTTGATGGAGTAGTGAACTGGTCCAACCATTCTGGAGAACAATATGGAACTATGTCCAAAGGGCTATAAAACTGTGCCTACTCTTTGACCCAGAAATACCACTACTAGGTCTGTATCCCAACAAGATCAAAGAGAAAGGAAAAGGATGTATAGGTACATCGTTTTTGTGGTAGCAAAGAATTGGAAATTGAGGGGATGCTTATCAATTGGTGAATGACTGACTAAGTTGAGGCATATGATTGTGATGGAATACTATTGTGCTATAAAAAATGATGAAGTAAGTAATTTCAGAAAAACATGGCAAGACCTGTATGAACTGATGCAAAATGAAGTGAGAACCAGGAAATTGTTGTGTACAATAAGAGCAATACTGTAATGATGATCAATTGTGAAACACAATTACTTTGATCAATACAATGACATAAGACAATTCCAAAAGACTTGTTAAGAAAAAATTCTGTCCACCTCCAGAGAGAGAACTGTTGAACTCTGCGTGCAAATTGAAATATAATTTTCTTACTTTCTTTATTTTTCTTACTTTTCCCCCATAATTTCACATGTATAGTTGATATCATATTTCTTGCCTTGGATGGGGAAGGTGGTGGGAGGAAGAGAATTTGAAACTCAAATTAAAAAGAAAGCAATGTTAAAAATAAATAAATAAATAAATAAATTAGTATATGTATGTATGTATGTATTTTAAAAGAGGGTTGTTGGCTCCATGAGCTTGGTCATGGGGTACTGATATGTAACTATTTGTCTTTTAGGATCTAAACACACTCCCGAAGCCCTTGATGTTTTAGTACCCATTTTCATTCTTTCATTGACATGGCCCACATAGCACCTGAGTGTTCTTTCTTTCCTGTCAAAACTTACCTTTCCTGTATCCTTTTCTCTCACAATATTGAGGAGAGATGAATGCAAATGACCTTATAGTGATGGAGTGGGTAACATTTAGCAGCAGATTGTATGTGGCAGGTAAGGGAAGAGATAATTTTAGTTTCTTTTATTACTGACTTGGGACTTTTTTTTCATATGGTTGTTGATATTTTGTTGTTCTTCTTTCAAGAACTGTCTGTTCATATCCCTTGACCATTTATCTATTGGGGAATGACTCTTGTTCTTACATTTTTGATTCTATTCCTTATATAGCTTAGCTATCAGAGTTTTGTCAGAGAAATTTACTACAAATATTTTTTCCGGTTAACTTGAAAAATTCCCTTCTAATTTTACCTGCATTGATTTGTTTGTGGCATTTCCCCCCCAATTTTATTTAATTAAAATAATTTTATATCCTGTAATACTCTATCTCTTCTTGGTCAAGAGCTTTCCTCTTATCTGTGGTTGAGAAAGGCATTTTCTTCTCTGCTTCTTTAATTTTTTTATGGTGTAACCTATTATATCAAGGTCATGTATCCAGTTATAACTTCTTGTGGTATATGGTGTGAGAGGACCTGAGTTCAAATCTGGCCTCAGACACATAACACTCACTAGCTGTGTAACTCTAGGCAAGTCACTTAACCCCAATTCCCTCACCAAAAAAAAAATGATGTTGACTTTTCCTGATCTTTCTGTCTTCAGGTATTTGAAGGTCTATTATATATAAAAGGAAAGTAGATATGTTCTGTGTTGTCCTAAGGCCAGTTGTAGAAAGGTAAATTTCCATTTAATGTAAAGAACTAACAGTTTTCCTGCACTAGTGCCTTTTGATCTGGAAGGGTGAGGTGGCTGAGAGGCCATCTAGATATTTTATCTATGAGGAAACTGAAACATATGCAGGTCAAGTGATTTTGTCTAGTGTCCTAAGAGTCAAGGATTGACCTTGAGATTTCAACCTGGGTGACTGGAAGGAGAGTGTTGCTCAAAGAGGATGACTTGCAAGAAGTGTGGGTTTGGGATGTTTTAGATAGGTTGAACTTGAGATGCACCATTAGCATCCAGGTAGAAATATACAGCAGGATTTTAGTGACTCGGCATCACGAGCTAGATTGTTTGGCTACATGATGTGAGTGTGATGTGTGTAGAGATGATAACTGACCACCTAGGAATTGATGAGATGACTGAGAGAGGGTATATAAACATGGGGACCCAGAACAGAGTTTTGGGGGACACCTATGCCTCATGCTGTAAAGGAAACTGAGAAGCAATGGTCTAACAAATAGAAGAACCAAGAAAGAAAGAAGACTGTTACAGAAGCCAAGGGAGGACAAGGTATTGAGATGGGCAGTACAGTCATAGCTGTAGAAGGGTCAAGTAGAATGAGAATTAAGAAAGAGCCACCAGAACAGCGATGGTAACTTTGAAGAGACCAGAAAAAACAGAGTGATAGGGCTAGAAGGGAGATGGCAAGGGGTTCAGAAGTGAGTGGAAATGGGGATAAGAAGTATGGACAATCCTTACTAGGAATTGAGATGTAGAATGGTAACTTGAGGGGCTAGCAGAGTCAAAAAACTGCCTTGTGAATTAGTGAGCTTCGTGTTAGAAAAAAAGTATTCAAGTAGGGGTTCAGTGACTATAGTCAGAGCTATTACAAATTTCTTTGTGGACACATCCAACTCTAGACTTTATGATTCTATGGTCAAGTGGCCTTAGAAGATTTCCAAAGTTTAGAATATTCTCAGTGATTCATTTTTATCCTTGATTTGTACACCTTGATTTATTACTTAATCTGATATATTGCCAGATCTAATGCCATTTTGGAAATAAACAGTTGTGGCCAGTTTCAAGCTCAGAAGATGCAATTTGGTACCAGGGAGCAAACTGTTCAAGAGTTATGCCTTTGGGTTGACTTAGATTGCTCTATTCTAGATGCTTTCTAGCTTACTATTGATTTCCCTAAAATGTGATGCCCAGAACTGAGTGCAGCACTCCAGTTATGATCGGTCTGAGGCAGAATGCAGTGGGACTATCACTTAGAAGAGAGTTAGTCAACATGTTCAGTTGTGTACCCACAATGCACAAAGCCCTATATGTTAGGACTGGGCGAGGTAGGTGATGATGGTGGGGGTGATGGGAAAGCAATAAAAACAATAATCCCCAGCCTTGAGGACCTTAGAATTTGGTAGGGCATATGAACACCCACTGACAAGACTTTTAAATAAGCACAAAATTGTACAGTACATACCACTGAGAGTGCTTAGAGGAGCTGAACTCAGGTTGAATGGCTGCTACCCAAATTTCTAACTCATTCTAACTGCTATTCACCCATTTTGCCCCATCCTTTATAAAAGGACACCTCTTATTGCCCGACAGTGTTAACTTCCAGGAGTTCTGAGGCTAGACCTTTGGTTCTCAGGGTACCTAGTGCCTAGAGGTAAGTGGTTGTTCAATATGAAGCAGCATTATGGGAATTGTCATACTTACTTGGGCTGACGTTGATGATCCAGCATGGAAGCCCTCTTGTGACTGTTTGAATGATTCTGGTGGCTTCCTTTCTTCAGGTCATGCTAGCTGCTTCCTATTGGTCGCTTCTGGCCCCTGCAATTGAGATGGCAGAATCCTCAGGAAATTTTGGTGCCTTTGCTTTCTTCCCTGTGGCAGTTGGCTTCACCTTTGGAGCATCTTTTGTCTACCTGGCTGATCTTCTGATGCCTTACTTGGTGAGTACCACTCAGCACCAGGCTTGACATGCAGCCAGGGACACCATTGATGGAATGTTGCAGAGTCCAGCGAAGATGGTTGTTCCTTGCTTTGTGCAGGACTTTTATTCCCATAAAAATATGTGTCTAAATCTCAGGCTCTCTGTCAAATAGGTAATGATCTGTAAACAAATTTGGAATGCTCTGAGGGTGCTTTTATTTAAAGAAATCTTTCTGAGAATCCTTCTTTAAAGTGAGGAATCTTTTTGTGATATGAACAATATCCTCCTCCTCATCCCCATTTATCTATGTGGTGTGTTCAGATTTTTATGTGTCATATTTATTATGAAAAAGAGCACACCCGAACTATTGCTGTGTGGGTGGGCATGTATATGTTTGAGTATGAATAATACAGAAGTAGAAGATACGGTCTGTCTTTAAAGAGCTAACAGAATAGTCAGAGAGATGGAATACATACTGGGAAAATGCCTTAGGAGCACTGATAAATCATAACCTTTCATCAGGTTTAAATGAATACAGTACAAACCAAGTCTTTGGGTGCTAAGTGGATGCAGAGTAGATGAGGCCATTAGGGTCAGGGAGCATCAGAAATCTCAGCCTCTTCTCTTGTGTGGGACTGACAGCTGGATAACAAAGAGCTCATAGATGTGTCGGTGCTTACAGGCAGCAAGAAGATCATAGGTTTAGAGCTCGAATGGGTCTTAAAGGTCATCAGATCTCCACTTTACAGATGAAGAAAGTGGGACCCAAAGAGATTGAAGTGACTTGCCCAAAGTCACGTAGCTAGTGAGTGGCAGAGCTGGGATTTGAACTCAGGTCTTCTGACTGCAAAGTCAGTGTTCTTGGTGCTAAAGTATAAGTCTACGGTTTGGTTGTGGTTGTTCGGTAAAGATAGCTGAGGCCGGGCCTTGATGTAAATGAGAACAAATGCTCGATCACACCTATGACCTGGAAGGCTGGTAAAGGTTACCATGGGCCCTCTTCCTTGTGCACAGGGAGATGAGGTCAGAGACTTGCAAGCATAAGCAGCTTGTCAGAAGTGAGCCAGTGGGAAGAGGCCATGAGGGATGCTCTGTGGATTGGGAGGAAAAAAAGGACTCAGAACCACTATTCCTAAAAACGAGCAGAAGAAAATCCACCTGGGTCACTGTTGGTTATAGAATAGCATGGTCAGACTACTGCAGCGAGTGTGCCATGTAACTTTCTGAGTCTCAGTTGCCTCATCTGTAAAATGATGAAGAAATTAGACTCAATCTCTGAAGTTCCTTTTGGACTTAGCAACTCTGACTAATATAGTGGCCCACCAAAGTTCCAAAGGACTCATGATGAAAATATTATCCACCTCCAGAGAAAGAGCTGATGGATTCAGAGTGCAGATGAAACATGTCTTTTTCCTTTCTTTTTCTTGCTTTCCTCCTCCTGCCTCCCCCAACCCCCCAATCATGGCTAATGTAGTGATTTGTTTTGCATAACTTTCTATTTGTAATGGGTTTTGTATCTCTTGCTTTTTCAGTGGATGGGGGAGCCTGTGGAGGAGGGAGAATATGTTAGAACTGAAAATAAAATAAATTGAATTTTAAAAATAAAATATCTTTCAGCTCTAGATCTTTGATCTAAGGTCCCAAATCTGTAATTTTATGATCTACGATCCCTTCCATCTCTAAATCTTATACGCTCTCTAGTAAGGCTATAAATGCAAATGTACAAGTCCTACATGTGGGACTATTTTCCAACCAAAGTATAAGCTAGAGGAGACAATGAGCAAGCGGCTGTAGGTGTGGTCTTTTTGACTAAATAGGAGCTCCTGTGAGCTAGGCTATTCATGCTGTCTTCAGTGTAATGGGGCTTTGATCCCAGTGACCAGTGAGGCAGCCTGAGCTTTCAGTTTTTTTCTTAGGGAATGACAAGGACTAAAGAAGAGGCCATGGTCTGAGTCCCTGGCCATCCTGCCTGGTGGGCTTGGGGACAGGGAGACTTGGTGAAGTTCCACTCATCCTGGGCAGAGGGGAGGAGAGAAGAGGACAGCGTGTGGGTGGTTTGAGAACTCGTTTAATTTAAAATGAAAGATTATCTGTGATCAGTTTTTTTTTATGGCAGTAACCATAGCAACAGTGTGTTGCTCCATCTTACTGTGATCCCATAATCAGGTTGTCAAGTCATCCACATGGTAATGGGCCTGGGAGGTTCTGGACGTGAGGTGCCATCCCTTGGGCCTGCCAGCAGTACCGCCCAGGCTTATGTGTAAGCTTGTCATTGGGCCAGATTCTGCCGTCTCTGATGGGAACAGCGTGCTGAGCTGTGGCCTTTTTTAGTAGGATGGCCTTTCAGCCTGGGCACTGAGGGTCAGCTGAGAGTTTCTGCACAGCCCCTGGCGTGTCTTATTCTGCTCACTCCCTCTCTCCACCCCCATCTGCCTGGGCTCAATCAGTGTTCAAAGACAGTCTCTTGTAGCCTTGTCCTTTACAGTGATTACAGGTCATCATTCACTGGTACTAGGGGGCCCAACTGTATTTGATCAGCTGCATGGAGTTAATCATTTTCACTGGACCCAGTAAACAGTTACTGCCTGATTTTTACCCTGTTGTACCTTTTCTTTCTCTTTCATCCATTTCCTTTTTTCCTTTCCCTTCCTCCTTCCTTTTCTTTTCCCTTTCTTTCATATTCGTACATTCCCATGCCTATCTGTTGGAGGTAGTCCTGCTATACTGGGGAGGCTGAGGAAGGCAGATGAGTGTGGGAGTTGTGGTCCTCAGTGGGCTGTGCAGATTGAATGTTTGTGTTGAGTTTGACATTAATGTGGTGAGCCTCCAGGGACAGGGCTCCGCCACTTACTTCTCCAGAGCAGGAATGACCTGGCCCAGGTTGGAAATAGAGCAGGTCAAAGCTCCCTGGTCAAGTAGGGCTGAACAAGGCCTGTGAGGAGCTCTTGTGTTTCCGGCTGGGTAAGATCAGGATTTTGTTGTTGTTCAGCCGTTTTCAGTCATATCCGACTCTTCATGACCCACTTTGGGGTTTTCTTGGCAAAGATACTGCAGTGGTTTGCCATTTCCTTCTCCAGTTCATTTTACAGATGAGGAAATTGAGGCAAACAGGGTGAAATAACTTGTCCATGGTCACACAGCTAGTAAGTGTACAAGGTTGGATTTGAACTCAGGAAGATGGGTCTTTATGACTCCCTCCACTATGTGCCACTTAGCTGCCCAAGATCAGGATACCCAGTCTTTAAACAAAACAAAGCAAAAAGCTGCCAGTGCCTTTCCTTATAGATGACCTCCCATCTACTCTGTGTATATATTTTATGTACCTAGTTAATAATAATAACATAATAGCTAACATTTATATAGCACTTACTGTGTGCCAGGCATTGTGCTAAGTGCTTTATAATTATTATCTCATTTGATTCTTACAGTAATCCAGGGAGGTAGGTGCTGTTACTGTCTCCCTTTTACAGATGAGGAAGCTGAGGCAGACAGAGGCTACTTGCCTGGGTCACAAAACTAGCAAGAGACTGAGGTTGGATTTTAGCCCTAGTCTTCCTGACTCCAGGTTCTGTACTCTATCCGTTGCACCACCAGCTGCCCCAATTAGTTATTTGTATGTTGTCTCCCCGAATTAGAATGTGGACTCCGGGAAGGCAAGGGATGGTGTTTTTACCTTTCGTTTGTATCCTTAGTGCTTAACGTCCTTACTAAAACGGCTTGTTGACTTACTGACTTATGTAAATCCAAACTGTTGTTCTTTGGTTAGGAGCAAAACATAAAAGTCTGAGTTACAGAATGTTTATAAAAGTTCATCTTATTATTTTTAAGTCTTTATAATAGTATTGCTAAGGAGATTAGGGTGGGGTGGCAGAGAACTTGTTAAAATCTGGCAAGAAGAGAGAGGACAGGACCGAACTTGTGATGTCATTGATATAGATGAGGAAGCTTAAGTAATATAGGGCTGTCCTTTCTCTGCAACAGAGTCTTAGTGTTGACTCAGTTGAGCATTGAGAGGTTAGTGACTTGCCCAAAGTCATATAGCTAGTATGTGGCTTCTCATTCTGAGGTCAGCTCTCTAGCCACTATCTCTGTCTCTCATCTCTATATCTATTATCTGTCTCTATCTCTATCCCTGTCTCTTAGAGAAAAAAGATAATCTCATTTATAATTAGTACACTCATTGAATGCAAATGTTGTTGCTGAAGTGGGACAAAATAGTTGGATGGCTTTCAAAATTGTTTTCCTTGGTTATGTTTTTTGTTTACTAAACTCTTTTTCATAGATAAAATTGTTGAAAACTGTTTGTGGTACCTGAATTAATGAGGTTCTGTTTATTCAACAAAACATTCACAAAGTGTCTACGGTGCACAGTCACTAGGCTTGGCAGTATGGGAAAGACGTGAAACAGTGCTGGCCTTCAGAGGAATTTAAAATCAAGTATTATTTTATTTTGTTTCCACATTATTTGTAAATATTTTTGATTCATTGGAGCTTAGTGCCAAGGTAGAATTTTGTTTAAATGTGAACTTGAGATCATAAAAGTGGGAAAAGGATCTACATGTACAAAAACATTTATTGCGGCTCTTTTTGTGGTGGCAAAGATTTGGAAATTGAGGGAGTGCCCATCAGTTGAGGAATGTCTGAACAAATTGTGGTATATGAAGGTAATGGAATACTATTGTGCTATAAGAAATGATGAGCAGGCAGATTTCGGAAAAACTTGGGAAGACTTGTAGAAGCTGATGCTGAGTGAAGTGAGGAGAACCAGGAGAACATTGTACACAGTAAAAACAACGTTGTGCAGTGATCAACTATGATTGACTTACTTCTCAGCAATATAATGCTTCAAGACAATTCCAAAAGACTTATGATGGAAAATGCTGTGCACATCCAGAGAAAGAGCTATGGAGTCTGAATGCAGATTGAAATATACTATTTTAACTTTTTTATGTGTGTGGTTTTTCTCTTTTGTTCTCTTTCTTCTTTCACAACATGACTGATGTGGAAATATGATTCTTT